ATTGAATTTCTTCTCTCCTTCCTTTCGCCTCCATTGTTTGTTAATTGTTTAAAAGAATTAGGATTTTTTAATTTAAGGTTTTGTTTTTGCAGTTGTTGGAAAAAGTTTGCTCCAAAGAGTTCTAGACCATTTTTTGCAAAAATATTTTATCTCTCGTCATTTATATATGTATATCCCATTTACATAATATTCTTTAACAGAATCTGGCAAATAAGTAGAGTATAAATATTACAAATTTGTGAGACTTTTATAGATTTAATAAGAATTACGAAAATAATGTAAGAACAAATAATTTTCCTCATCTATTTCTCATGAATTGTTGAATACATATAACTTATTGATCAACATAGCATATTTCTAATTGTTCCAATCGTATTTTTTCTCCGCATATTTTGGAAACGGAGGAGTGTCATCAACGTAATAAATACCATCATTCTTTGCTATCCAGTACACCGAGCGGTCACTTTTTATTCCTTGCGTTTTTTCTTCAAAAACTTCGAAAGCACTATCTTTCGATCCCCACCAAAGTTGACAAGTGTATAGTGTACTGGGTGAAAAATTACCGCAAAAAGTCCATTCAAATTCTTTCTCAACACCAAGCGTATGATATCCAAGATCGTCTTTTTTCGACCAGCAATGCAATTTCAATGGTGCGGATTTTGGTGGTAGATCGTTAAAGATATGAATATTGCACTTGTACGAAAATAAACATCCTTCTGCGAATCGATCTTCAAAAATGTTCACTTCTATAAAGAGCACTAGTAGTAAGAGGATTTTTATCATACCCGGACTCATTATTTATTTGTAATTTTGATTTTTTATGCGATCTTTTGATGTTCAATTTATAAGCATCATTTGAGTGACTTGCTAAAATGAATTAAAAAATTTGTAATATATGATTTCGAAAATTATAAAGGATTTGATGTATAATTATTCTCATTGTTTTATATATAAACACTAAACATGGTAACATCTGATTGACTAGACTAATATAGGAATTAATTAATTACCTAATAACTACTGAGATTTACTATTTTTCTACATATTATTAACACTAGTATTTTTCGATGTGCGATGTACTGGATAGCATTTCAAAATTGAAAATTAGAGAATTAGTAGAGGAAAAAGAAACCGATTTTTTTTTTTACAAATTTGTCATTAACAAATCAAGTTTAATAAAAAAAAAAGAGCTGTAAACTATTTCATTCAGATAAGAAATTAAAGTTGCCCCCGCCATTGTTGACCGGTGTTGATTTTTTTTTTACTTTTCTTCTGGTCGCCGTTGTTGGTCAATGTTGACATTTTCCCGGTAGTCACGCTGCTTTGAGTCTCGATCTAACGATTTTTGTTTTCTTCTTTTTTTTTACCCCTACAAAATAATTATCTTTTAAATAGTTAAAGCGATAATTTTATTTTTTTTTACAAAAGATTCTTTCCAGCTATTATACTGTGGTCAACAGTAATGTACTGCAATTATGTTTTGGTCAACAATAGTATAGCATTATATTTATGTTGATTACACTAACAATAATGTTAACCACAATATTATAATTGTTGACCACAATACAGGGCAGTGGCGTATCTAGCATGGTCCTAGGGTGTGTAGTTGCACACCCTTGGATTCAAAAAAAAAAAAAAGAAAAAAAAAATTCTATAAAATATTTTGGGGTATTTTTGATATTTATAACTAATGAGGGGTTAAATTGAAATTTAGTAAAAATTAATACAACCTTACCGAGAGCCAGAGACCCCTATATGTTTTTTTTTATTTCTATTTTTTATGTATATATTCCTTTTTAAATTCCAAAATCTTCTGTAAATAAATTGGCTTTTAGTTAATTGGTTCAAAGTTTTTACCCATAAGGAACAAGATTTAATTTCCATTACATACAATATTTCAATTGTTTTCAATTTTTTTAATATGTGGGTATTTTTGAATATTTTATATAATCTAAATTATTCGAAAATTCTTAATGTTTATATATATATATATATATATATATATATATATATATATATACATATACATTATTTCAATTATTTTCTAAAATTACAACTATGTGGGTATTTTTTTTTATATTTTAAAAATTCAAAATCTGCTAATGAAATACATATTTTGTTACTTGCAACTTTAATATGTTTACCACTCCTTTAATATTTTCACCAATTTGATGTCTAAATATTTCCTAAATTAGTCCAAAATTTGTAAAATAATCCCTTTAAATTTGAAAATATTACATATTTTTATTATTTAATGTTTATAGTATTAAAAAAAAATCGGGGGCGCTGCCCCCGAACCCCCGTAAACTTTTACCCAACTATCATACTTTCTACTATATTTAATTACGAACACCCTTAGCGAAAATCTTGGATTCGCCACTACTATAGGGTATATGATGTTGTGAAAAACAGTAATATAACACTATATTATGTTGGCCGCAACGATATTATTGTTGACCACAGTAATATAAGTGGTTGACAATAATAGAGCGTTCTATAACTATGACCACAGTAATTATTACTATGAAAATTAATGCTATTTGTGAAAAAATAATGCTATTTGTGAAAAATAATGATATTTATGAAAATTAATGTTGGTGCGAAAGTTAATGTTACTATGAAAATTAATCTTATTGTCAAAATCTAGTGTTCATGTGACATTTAATGTTACTATGAAAAAAGAAAATTACTTTGAAAATTAATGTTACTGTAAAAGAAGAGCATAAAATTGTAAAAAAATATTAATGTTATTGTGAAAATTAATATTAGTATGAAATTAATGTTAATGTGAAAATAATGTTATAATTTGTTAAAAAATTAACGTTACTGTGAAAATAATATTTGAGTAAAAAAAATTAATGTTAAAAATAAAATTAATGTTACATTGAAAATTTATGTTATTGTGGAAAAAGATAGAATCCAACTTTAGTTGACTTCGGCGTTAGGTGACATCCGACTTTTATTTCTTTTAATGTTTTTTTTTTTTTCGGGCGATGGGCTGTCGGAGCTTGGATTAGCTGACTCAACTCAACAATAGTTAACTTTAACATTAGCTGACATTCAACTTTTTTTATGTCATTAATGCTTAGTGAGCTAATCAGACCTTCGAGGACTTGCTATTGGAAAAGAAAAAGTAAAAAAACAATCGAGTGTGAGCTTATGCTTATTTATAATTGGAGATCTAACAACCCGTCGTCGGCAAAAATGAAAAAGAAAAAGGAAAAAAATCGGATGTCAAGTAATCAGGGCTCTGACGATTCGCAACCGAAAAAAAGAAAGAATGATAGTAATAAATAAAAAGTAATAATAATAATATAATAACAATAATAATATAATAAAAATAAATAAGATAAAACAAATCACAATTAGGATTTGAAAATGGTAAAAAAATGTATAAACAAATTATTTTATTATATATATATATATATATATATATGTAATAATAATAATAATAATAATAATAATAATAATAATAATAATAATAATAATAATAATAATAATAATAATAATAATAATAATAATAATAAAAAAAAACCCAGTTTGCATTCTTGAAATATATCATTTTGGCACTTTGCATCCTTAAAAAATGTCATTTCGCTCCCTCAAAATATAACAAATCATTCACAATGTACTCCAAATTGAATATTTCAAACTTAAGGAGGGCTGATTCCTTTTTTCATAGGGTGCAAAATGATAAATGAAATTGTAATTTGTTTCTACCATCCAACCTAATTTCGATCGTACAAAGTGCGAAAAAAAATATCACACACAATTACTGAAAATGCACTAGTTTCTCTTAAAAAAAAATATAAACATTTCTCATTAAATTAATCGATCGGTTTATCTTTTTATGGAATTGCTAAATTTTTTTGGTAGCAATCATTGGAAGAAATATAATATTCAAGCCACTTGATAACAAAAAAATGTTAAAGGGATTTGTTATGTTTCTTATTTTGTAAAATACTTTTTTGTGATAAAAAAATATAATGTTTAAATATGTTAATAAATGTATTTTTAGTTTGCACTTTGTAGTTTTGAAATGACCGACAGATATAAAAATTTTGATTTAACAATTGGCATCCTAAAAAATTACCACTAAAAATATTAAACTACCTTCATTAGTTTTACAAAATTCATTCGGACTGCATGGTTTATTGTTTTTAAAGCGTTCAAAATACCATTAATTTATTTTAAGGGTGCAAAGTGCCAAAATGCTATATTTCAAGGGTGCAAAGTGGAATTAAGACGGTTTATAGCATTGTATTGCAGTATTACTTATTTATTTTATCTCTCTTCATCGACATATTTGTATGATTGTATCTCATTTATATATCCTTTATATATAGGGGTTATTTGCCAAAACCCCCTTATACAATTTATTCTTAGGAATAGGACCAATTTTAAACGACCAATTAGTGAGAACCCCCTACACTTGTATACTTCCAGAAATACCCCTAAATTAATTCATCCGAAAATAGAAGGAAAAAAATCATATGTTCCCCCAAAATAACTCCTCTAAATATCCGCCCCCTCCCTAAAATCTCTCAAAAATCTCATACCATTTCAATTTTAATTATTTTTTATTATTTTTTCTTCAGAATATTTTTTATTTTCAATTAAAAAATTGTTTTTATTTTATTTTTGATACTTTTATAAGAAAATTTTGATTTTCTTTTTAAAAATGATGTTTTTTTTACTTATGTTTTTTAAATTTATTTTTTTATCAAAAAATAGTTTTTAACAAATTGAAATTCACTATAAACCTATCAAAAACCACTATGGGATTAACGTATTCCGTTACGAAATTGATTATAAACTTATCGAAAACCACTATTTAATTAACAAAAACCACTATATAATTAACGAAAACAACAATGTCATTAACGGAAATCCATTATAATCTTATCGAAGATCACTATGTAATTAACAAAAACCACTATATAATTAACGAAAACCGCTATATAATTAACGAAAACCATTACGAAAAATCCACTGTAAAATTATCGAAAACCACTATATAATTAAAGTACTCCATTGCAAAAATCCATCACAAATATATCAAAATTCACTATGTAAATAACGTAACTCACTAAGAAAATCTACTACAAACTATCAAACTATAAATTCTAACAAGCCAACTATGAAACAACCATCTTCTCTCCCATGAACGAGCATACTCGATGTAATCTTCTTCTTATTGTTACATTTCTCAAGCATCATCCACATAGTCATCCCCTCCATGTTCACTCCACCTGCTCAAGAAACAAAAAATACTATTCAATGTGCAAGGAGATGAAAATCAAAATTTATCAAAAATAATATTTAAGAATTTCACTCTAAATAAACTACTTTGACTTATAAAATCAATTAAGTTTGGGGTCGGGGTTACCATCACTTCAAATATAGACGAAGAAAGAGTTCCTACAAAATTTTACAATTATAATTACTTTTATATACTCCATATAGTTGACTAATTCTATTGACGGCCAGTTTATTTTTTCTTTTTAATAAAAATCCAAAAATAAAAGAAAACAAATTACATAAAAATTTCCCACCCGAGGAAAATGCAACAAAACTTTGTGGGGTTTTAATAGAATTCACAATCAATTTTTTATTTTATAACTACACACCAATTGTATGAGATTACCTCAGATAAAGGTATTCGTTGGCTTCGGATCTGAAAAAAAACAGATTTGGCGGGGCAATAAACACAAGATGGTGACGCGGCGGTGGTGGATTAAACAGAACGTTGAGGAAAAGTTTGTACGTGGCAGCGATTCGTTGCTGAATAATTCTTCAGATCTCGCGTACTTCTTCGTTGCTAGCGGCGGAGGCAATAAAGGCGGTGTTGGAGACAGTAACACTTCGCGGTGGCGGTGAAGATTTTTTTATTGGAGGAAGAGATGAATAATTAGGGTTTTGAGAGATATGACAGATAATAAAATGGTTGGGGTTGTGAAACGTGAAGTTAAAAGAAATATGGAAGAAAAAAAATGTGGATAGGGGTCAAATATGTGGTTCAAATGGAATGAGGCTATTACTAAAAGGGATTTTTTTTGGATTTATCCAAAGACAACTTGCAAATGAGAAATGTTAGGACAGCCCGCATGGGTGTAGCTCAACTGGTTCCGGAGGTGGTAAGTTGGTGCAAGGTCCTAGGATCGAATCCTGGCAGCCGCAGTGTGGGAATTTCAACTCCAATGAGGGTTGGTTCCTTGTGGGCACCAGGTCCGGGTCCGCTAACTTAACGGGCCGTTGAGTTACCATGATTTACATTCCTCCATCAATCCTTGTCGGGCCGTTGAGGGATTTCGCCTTTTTTTGTGCAAGAAATGTTAGGACAAGAAGAAACTCCAATGTTCCCTAATAATCCCTTATATATAAAAGAAAGAAATGTTAGGACAACCTAAGAAACTCCAATGTCATATTTGTAAAAAAAAAAATAGTAAAAAAAAATGTTAGGACAACCTAAGAATGGGGTACTTCTCCTTTTGCTGAGAAAAGCATTACTAATGAGGTTACTAGGTCAGTCTACCAGTACAATTATTGGGACTACCTACAAAGTTTTTATAAAACTCTTTTATATCAGAATCCTAAGCATTCTCAAACATGGCTTATAAAATTTTGCGATAATATCAGTAGGAATCAAATTCAAAATTGTCTTTTCTCTTGGTGGGAAATTTTTGGTGCAATGGTAGACATTTTGCCAGAAGAGATCAAATCTCTCTTAGAAGAATACTCTATTAGTTTTTCTTCTTTTAAAACTCACAATACAGGTAGTAAAACTATTTGTATGTTTTTTGTTGATTCCGGAATTCCATGGGTTTGGAAATGGAAACCAGAATTCGGGTTCACGGCCAATGGTACGCCGTGTTTATGGAGAATTCATACTACTAGGTTTTGGAATAACCTAAATGTTATTACTCCTGGCTCCATTGAGTCACCTTTACAGGAAAATATTCGTAGGATTAAATCCAAAATGGAAGATCATAAGAAAATCTCTTCTAAGAAGACTTCATATAGTCTTCCTTCGTTCTCTGAGTTCTCCAAGCAGTACTCTGACATTTTCTCTAAAGAAAAAAATATGGATCTTTATATGGACCACATTAAGAAGGACTCATTCAATGATATTGACTTTTCTGATTCAAAATCGGATGCTTCTATGAGTTCTGTTACTGACCTCCAAGATGCTTAGGATCCTGACGAAGATTATCAAGATCTTTCTTTACAAGAAAGTTTTGATTTGCTCAAATCCTCTCTTAAAGAGAAAGTTAAAAAAAGAAAAGATTAATGGAAGACTGGGAGATTATCTCGTACGCTTCAGTTCATCACCAGATTGGAACATCTGGGAAGTTCCTTTTCATGTTAGGTTCGATGAAATATCTAACGAGATCACATGTAATAATAATCTCAAGATTCTTAGAAAGAAGATTACGGCCCTGGAAAATTTTATTCTTATTGGGGAAGGAATTAGGCAGAGAAACAATTTTGTTGTCGAGTCCTTAAAAGATTTTAAGCAGACTCTAAGACTTCTGAAGAAACAAGCTTCTTTAATGGCGATTTAAGGAAGATTTATCTTAGAGCATTTCAACAAGATGCATCTACAGTATCCGGCAAATTAAAATTCGTCATTGCTTACACCAGCAGACCAAGCACTGTTCATGAATAGTAAAAACACTATTCACACTTTTTACTATTCACGCTTTTTTATCTTTTTGAAATACGGGGTTGATGTCCGGCTCTTTCTCTTTTTTCTATTTATAGTTGGAGTTTCCAACTCCTGAAGTATCACTTTTACAGACTCTCTCTATCTCTTTTAATTTCTCTCTTGTATAATTATCGTGTGAAATAAAAGTTGGTTTGAAGTTCTTAGTGTTCTTTAAGGTTCTCTTGCTTTCATCTTCAGTCTTTTATTTTTATTTTTCAATGATCGCCGCCTCAATGGCCGGCTAGGTTTCCTGTATTAAATCATGGCTTGACTCAACGTTACTTTACTATCATGTGCATTTGTGAAATATAAAGATATATTTTACTTAAGATATCAAAGGTAAAGTTTGGTTTAACCAGAAGGTATGAGGTTTCCAGTGATATTCATAAGTTAACCATGTGGGCTTGCCTTGTTGCCGTTATGCCGATTCTAGGCGCATGCGTTTTGGGCGTTAAGCTTTTTTCAGGTTAACTTATGGACTATGGATGTCCTCAGTAATATCCTCTGTGTTTCCAAAAGATCCAACAGGATACTATTGATATATTAAGCGATCTGTTTTTTTTATAATTTATTAACTACA